CTTGTGATGGATGACTCTTTAGGGTACCCTTCAATAGTAAGCTGCCTTAAAGTACTGGTGGTTTAAAACTGAAGGATGCTTGCACTGCCTGATATTACTATTAACCTGTAGTTCACAAACTGTATCAAGCCTGATTTTTCAGGCTCTCCCCTATGTCTTCTTTTTTGAATTTCCCCCTTTTTGTTTCAGTCCCTTTCTTGTCACATGTAAGCAAATTTTGGTTATCACTTGTCATCTGTACAACAATAAGCTGAAATAACTAAAATTATGTAAGACTTACCAAATTCTTACGAATTTTTTTCCACTGTAATATTTATATTCTAGGACTAACAATTACTGATATTTGGAAACACATGTTGTTATTCAGGTGTTCACATGACCTTGACTTTATATCTGTGGCCTTGTATATTATTGATGGGAACAGAAGGCAATCCCAGTCACTACCTCTTCCTATAAAGCAGCACTGAGACGTCCCCCTTACATACTCAACATGTTCAAAGTGCCAGACTCATTTGTCAGTGCCCTGCATCTGGAAAACATCTTAGCTGGAAAAGTGTTCTGCAGAATGTAGTAGTGTGGGAGGTGAGACTGTATTTCTGTAGAATTTAAAAGGGGAACCAAAGATTTTTATGGGGGCACAAAAGGGCAACAGCAATAGACTTGTGCAGTTGTGATGATGTAATGCTATGAAAAACAGAACAGAGCAACAGTAGCTTTTTCACTCCCTGAGAAAAAAACCCAAAACACTACAGTATTATTTGTCTATAATCAAGGTTCAGAGTTATATCTTACTCACTACATGTTTAATTTCTGAGAACATGTTACACAAGAGAACTCACTCTATCTGGCTGCTGTGGAGCAGCAATGAGGGGTTTTTTGCATTTAATGTCCTAAGCATATTTAATTATCAAGCATTTATATGTAAAAAATATTGAAATAACATAGTAAAAGGCTGACAATTTTTTTTTCTTTGTAATAGAATACATGGATGTTTTAATACAACCTTAGAAGTTAGAAATAATTATTTACTGGTGATTAAAACATTAACAAAATACATTGCTTGACAAATGGCTAACAAACCGACTTGTCAGAAAGGATACAGCATGAATACATTCACCAAAGAAGATTTTCTATAAGAGAAACTATGGTATGCAAAGTAAGTCCGAATATTTGCCAGCAAGCTCTGGCTTTTAAAACAGCAAGAAATAAGCTTTGTTCTCTTAGGAAATGAAATCTATATGTCCAGACTTGCCTTACGGTTTTCACAGGTAAATGAAGTGCCATGTAGGAATATGTAAATATTGAACCAGTCCTTCCTCTGTTGAGTAAAAGATTGTTTGTACTCTAATAATGTAGTTTTAGTTAATGGTGTTGAGGTTTTAGATTAAAATGGCAGAATACTATAGTAAAATGCTGAATAACTTTTTCTCAAAAGTGGGGATCAATACACCAAAGAAACTAGAAAATAGCAGTAGTAGTCTTTTCTCTTCTGTCCTGTGTGCTGAATACTAACAATATATTCTGTCTGAAGAATTAATCCTTTTTCTCTTTTTATTTTTTTACACAAGATCTTTATAGAAGAAGGGCTTTTTGTCACAAAAATCAACAGAAACTCTATAAAAGGAAGAGTTTATTCAGCTGAAATCTTTAGCCATTCCCACATGAGAGAGTAGCCAAAGTTTCTAGTCCATGTGTTAGAACAGTTTATATACTGTGTCCATTAATTAATATAAAATGCATAGACTATTTTGAGCACTAGAACCAGAACTTCTTTCCCAGAAAAGCAATTTAACTACTAAATTAGAGTCATGCTACTGCTTGTTCAGTCTTTCTGAAGCTTGAATATTTTGTTGCACAGCTTCAAGAGGAAATGGACAAAGCATCCATCCTTTCCTATCAATCTAGTAGCTGATAACTTGTGATTGGACCTCTTTATGGAAAGAGAAAGATTTGGGTTTCAATCCATTTACAAAAGGAAATTGAACTCATGTCTGCTATTTCTCAGGTGACTGTTTTAGCCACTAGAATATTTAAAAAACATTAGGCAGCACTATATTTTCTCTGGCCAGGTTCTCAAAGAATATTACAGTTGCACCTGATCTTCTAAGTAAGCTAGATGGGCTCAGCATAAATGCAACTATTAAATCCTAGTTATTAGTTAGAAGAACAGTCTCTTTTTGGGTTATGCTGAAGCTTAGGCATGATCTAGAAACTGAACTTTTCAAATTAAGTGTGTGAGCATGACCAGGAGCAGAAATCTTGACACCTTGAGGAGTCTGTAGTCACAAGGTGACCCTTACAAGCGTAAGTTTCTTCAAGGTAAGTGAGGGTAGATTTTACAGAAAGCTGCTTTGAGCTTTTTATTTGTTTCACTCAAAATTGTGCTGTGATTTAAATCACTCTGGTTATCTCAACCCCGCAGGTGCCAGGATCCATGAACTCACAATTCACCAAATGAGTGTGCAGGTTGTGTGAGATGCTGTGGCTGCAGCACCTCATGTCTGGAAGCAGTACAGCTGCATTCCTGAAGTGCTACATCGAAGACAACCAGCTTTGCTGAAGGGGCATAGCACTACTTGAATGATACTCTACTGCTTCAAAACCTGGGTCATTTACATCAAGTCAGACCACAGTGAGATTCAGTTGCCCAGAAATGACAGGACTCTAGTGCCATTTTATACTCCCTGATATCGCACCCATTCTCCTGGCATTCATAAAGTGTTGTATCCTACTTGCTTACACTATCATAACATCTCAGATATCCCACAATGTCCAAAAATCCTAGTACCTTTCAAAGGAACTACATAAAACATACATGTTTCAGTAACAAAATCAATCCCAAGGTTCCACTGCTCAGTGTTTTCCAGCCCTTCCAGATGTCAAGTTCACTTCTGTGCTTGTCTCTACACCCACGGCAAAAACATGCCCGTGTAGCTTTGCTAAGAGTTACCCTTAGAAATATCTCTTTCTACAAGTTTGATCTTGAAATGTGTTTAATATTATCAACTTCCTATTAAGACAATGAGAGTTGCAGGTGCCTTACATGAGTGGTTTCTAGTTTATATGGTCATGTGGAGGACTGTTCATTGCGCCTTGTGTTCTCATTGAGAAGACAAGTGATATCTCTGATGCATGTAAAGAAATATTGTCTCATTTATGAAAAATTTGCCTTCAGGACAACATGAAAATAAATCAGGGGAAGCTACCACAGTATGCTTTTGTGGCTTGTATGTAACTAGATTTTAAGATGCAATTCTTTTAAGTCGAAGACTGACTAAAAATAAAATATATTGGGTGTCCTTTATTCTAGCAAATAAAAAGTGGCTTTATCTAGGGCCAAAAGAATATTTCTAGTTCTGCTTTCGTTCTGTTTCTAATCTGATCACAAGCAAGCAATGTTCTTCTGAAACAGCAATCTGCTGTATTTTCTTGGCTAGAAAAGCTTGCCTTGAAAGGACCATTTCCACACTGCTATGCAGTTTTGTGCTGAATGTATCACTGTCAAAAAAAAATATGTACATCCACTGGTCAGCACGCAAAGCTTAGGCAAAAAAAGGCTCTTGTTCTGCTCACCATGATGTTCCTTATGGAAATTTGATGGTGTAATATTTGGGTACCTTATGAAGCTGCATTCTCAGGTTAAAGATACACATCTGTTTCGGAAAATCACAGCATATACGGATGGCATATATAGCAACCCAAGCAGATACCATAGTGATAGACCTGTGCAAGGACTTTCTCTGACATCTAGGACCACTCCTCTTGCAGAAGACCAGCTGTGGCTCTATGTGGCTGACAAGATGCAGCATGGGCAAATGAACACAACTACTCATGTGGCACATGAGCTGGAGCTTCCCCTCAAAGCTGAATGATGGCCCATTTGTTTTCTTCACTAGCTCTGGGACAATCCCACTTCTCCCAACATCAGCTGATGGGCCACATCCAAGTATTTGGGAAAATTATGCTTAGGGATAGTTGTGAGAATAAACTAAAAGGAATTTAGTTCTTTTTATCAAGAGTGATTTTTGTTTCTTCAGAATAAAACAATTTGCCACAATACAGACATAGGAACACAGTTCCTTTCCACCAGTCCCAGCTCCCCTGTTTCAGAGGCGGTCCTAAAGTACTCTTTGTAATGATTTCTTTTGTAGGCTTCCTGACAGCAAAATGGTTTTCATCCTCCCTGACCTGCTGCAAGCCAGGCTGTGCTCAGCATCATCTGCTTGAGAGTGCAGAGGCACCCCTGTGTTTGCTTCTTTCTTCCTTCCCGAGGCCTGATTCCAAGTTTCTGCAACATTACCCAGTATGAATTTCCCTTTCTCTGTGGAAGTGACTTTAGCCTGGATCACATGCAGCTGAGCCCCAGCTCCCCATAACCGGCCAGTGTATTTCTTGAGAAAATCAATAATCACTGGGAAAATTATTATAAATATGCATTTTACAGACTTCATAGTGTTCTCAGTGAATTTAGTGGCAATACTTCCAATGAACAGAGTGGAGACAGTTTTGGGCTTAAAACAAACCACCACATCCCTCCAAAAATCAAAACAACATTGTGCGTACAGTGAAAACCTGCAGTATGGCATGCCTGAAGGAAAGATCAGGAGACAATTTCCAGTAATTCTTTTCAGTTTCCATTAGTTCATTAATTTTTTTTCCCATTTGCAGTTCAGGTCCTAAACAGTATTTTTTCCTTTTCAGAAAATATTGACATAACTTATTTTCCCGCTTCCCCATCTCATGATACATTGAGCACGAAGATGATGATGTAAAGATTCCTACAGAAACCTCCTGGAGAGCTGGCTCATTTTGAAAATTGTTCCCAGGTGCTTTGTGTCTCTGTTCCCAGGTGTTTTGTGTCTCTTTCTTACTCAAAGATTATATGATTATCATTTTAATGTCCCACAACTTCTCATCTAGTTCTCTAGGAAGATATGAAAATGAAGCCATGAAAGCTAAGCTGTTTGGTATTTATCACACACACTCTGATTCTATTTCAGAGCTCTGGGATTTAAACAGGACGTCAGTCTTTCATAGCCCATTTGGATATCTTGGTCTTCATATAATGCTGCTGGATGAGTATCAAGAGCGACTGTTCGTGGGAGGAAGAGACCTCTTGTATTCCCTCAGTTTGGATCGAGTCAGCGACAACTACCGAGAGGTGGAGTAAAAAGCTGTATACATTAGTCACTTTGTGTCATAATGTGTAGCACGGAATATAAGAGTTTGCATGACTGGAAATGAGATAATGGAGGTTTTGTAAATGTTTTGTGCGTGACCTTTAATGTCATGTTTATACTTTAGAAAAATACACTAATTACCATATTTTCCAAGTAATAGCCCCTAAGGGTCATTGCAGGTGAAGAGATCTGGGGGTAATATAGCTATTTCTCACTGATTTTCAGCATGTTTACAGATGCAAACATGTAGAGCATCTCACACTTTATGTATACCTGATTTCTGTACCTCTGCTATATTATCAAGGTATAGTTTCTCCTGGTATTTGGGGGGAATTTCCCACAACAAAAGAGAAAATTAAAAAAAACCCAAAAACCACAACCTGCCAAACAAAAAACCCCAAATTTAGCACATCCACTATAAGAGTTATTCAATGCAGCCGATTTTCAGCCTTCTTTAGGAACTGGATTTTGCATTGTCTTTGAGACAGAGGTGCTATTAAATAGTTTCTGAAACCACAGCTGACTGGCCAACTGGGAACTGAAGTGGAGAGGCTGGAGCTTGAACTGATAGGAGTCTTGCTTCCTTGGTTCCTTCTGCCTTTGGCAGCTAGGCTTGAAAGTATGCAGTTTCAAGGAGGAACACTGGTCCTTCCTCAACATCTTGATTGTGGATAAACAATGTCTTGAAATATTTCAGAGTTTATCTACTTTTTGAAATTTCCCCAAGGTATTCAGAGACATTTTCATTCATTCTCAAATTAGTAAATGAATTAAAAAGGGAATAAATAAAGCCCCTCTGGCGAAATATGATTTTGTTGATATCCATACTGCACTGAATACTGATATTTCAAATTCTTTTCTTTCTGCTCCCTTGTTGTAATGAATATCACTATACTCATGCCAGCACTCTGGTCAGCTTTACCATAAACAACCTTGCTTATCTCCAAATGTAATTAGCATGTTCCTCTACTGTGAACAGATATAATATACTTAATCCTTTTTACAAATAGTTTGGGAAAGGCAATTCTAGATATAGGGAAATTGATATATTTAGGGAGGCCATTTAGGAATTTATCTTCATCCTCTTTTTTTTTTTTTTTTTAACTCCTCAGAGAGCAATATTATACACTGAGCTTTGCTCCTCCACAGTGAGATATGAGTTAACTCCTTTTCCATTTGATAAAAATTATTAATATCCTGTGACAAGATACTAGAGCTCAGGGATATGAAAACATTTAGGAAGCAGTTGTTTATATAAAAAAAGCTTTTTTTCTCCTCTCTTCTTCCCTGTTTGGCAGTAAATCTGTATGAGGAAAGATGACAGGATAGAGCACTTGATGCTTTGTCCAACCACCATTGTCCCGTCTGGACACTCTCGAAGTTCATTGCTCTCCTTCTTGTTGTTTTTAGATTGAAAATAAGACATTTACTCTGAAACCATATTCTCTGTCTTGAGACCTGTGTGTAAAGTATGACAAATTAATGGAAGCTCTTCTTGCCTGCTTGCTTTTTTTTATGATGTGCAAAAGATGAGAAACTGGGATAATTGGGGCTTGACCTAGCTTGCTTAGAAACATGACCTCACTGGGACTTTGCTCCCTTGAATACAAATGTCATGGGTTTTTTTTCTCTTTTTCCAGTGCTCACTCAGTGCAGATCTCATTCAGTGATAGCTAGGGAAAACTAGAATGTCCCACAGCACTATCAGCAATAGTGTGGAATTAGATATTTCTGTTATACGAGAGCTTAATTACTGAGATACACTGGGGGAAGTTCCTGGAATCGAAAGACTGGTTGATTCATTATTACCAAAGTTTTTCATTAATCTGCCTTAAACTGTGTGTTGGCTAGCCTTTGGCCTTTTCTTTCAGACTGAAGACTTTAGCTTAATTAATCCAAAACACCAGTTAAAGCCTAGTGAAATTATAAGAGTGGAGGCAAGTTCCTGGGGTTTATTCTCTCTTCTGTCACCAGGATGAGTCACTAGCTGTAGAAGAGATGTTTTGTAAGGTTGGCAGCTTTGGGGCAGATTCACATAGATCTTTTTTATATTCTGTGTTCTAGAAAACAGTTTATGTGTTTTAATTCATTGCCATCCCTTTTTCCTCCATTTGGAATACGAATATGCTCTCTAAAAACAATCTGAGATGTATCACTTCTGCTGTAAAATGATCCAGTAATTCAATTCTAGCAAGCATATTAGAAGACCCCCAAAGAAAAACAACAAAATTCATAGTGGACATAAAATGCTTTTGCATTGAGACCTATTGACTGCCAAAGTAATCCAGCATTTCAAAACAACTCAACTCGTGATGCATATGAGGTATGCATCCTACAAATCTGCATTTAATAGACTACATTTTTCCATAAGGTTCAATTCTCTTCAGCTTTCAAATACAAAGCAGCACTCTGAAGAGAAGATTATATTTTTTCACATAATTTACTAGCTGTTTGTATATATATCTATCAACATTATGTTAAGCATGTATTTTCCTGACCACTTTTCATATCCAGCAAAGAAGAGATACATACAAAATGGGAAAAATCTTTCAGGACAGAAAACTACTACTTTCATTCCTGCATTGGTTGGGGAATCCAAAGATTCAACTGTGGTATAAACTTCCCATGTCATCTTGGACAGAGAAAGAGTCTCACTTCTCCATTGGTCAAATTATATTTCCTTTGCCTTCTATGCATTTTTTTTGTACACTTGTCTCTCTCCTTTCATACAATACACACAGAAATTTTCTTTCTTAGAGCATGTAACACATCTTAACATAAGATTTGTTACTCACACTCTATATGTGTTTCTATATGAAGAATGCCCTAACACCAACAGTAGCTAGAATGAGGGAGATTATGAAACGTGGATATCAACACTTACAGAGAAATAAAGCCACACAAGTACTTGAAATTTTGTGTAAAGCAAAAGCTTTGGAGGTACCCTCCATGTGACCTTTGCTTTCCCTAAGATCTCATTTCCTTTAACTCTGCCTTTGGAATAAAACTTTACGCATACTTGGGATTTGGTCCTTAAGGCTTGTAATGATCTGATAGATAATTTTCTTTGATATCTACTCCCAAATGTATTTTAGAAAGTTTTTCAGTTCATTGTAATTGATACCAGCGCAGACCTTTGTTGACAGCAAACTTGAACCAATGCCAGTAGTTCACCACCACTGATCTAACAGCTCGTAGAGAAAGATGACCTTTGGTTCCACTTTTTGTCTCTTGTTGGAGCGAAAATGAACCGCACTCCCTATTTTCCCCACAAACTTCTTACTCTTTCTTCCTAGCTTCTGCTTCAAAGGGCTCGTGATGGCCTTGCCGTGACAAGAAGCCTTCCTACTTTGGTAAATAGGCTTGTACATGCAGATTTCAATCCACTCTAGTGAAACTAGCTATATTCCCACTCCAGAGACATCTGAACAGCAAAATCATAGCAGATCATAAATGAGATAGCACCAGATTAGGATCTGTCTCTGTTGTAATAAACTATAGAGCCCTCATAACAGATCATGCCTCTAGAGAGGGTAGCTATATTCTCACTCCAGAGCTGGCTGAACATAAGTCTGCAAGCGCAGCTCTTGCTTCTATCTCTTCTGAAAACAACGTAGGAATGTACATATTTTCAAACTGAAGTAGGAAGCACACAATTTAGCAGTGAGTTTGATTATCCATGCTCCCAAGAGGCAGGGTGGCTATGTATTTGTTGGTACATATATATATATCCAGTCATAACCAGATATTTTTTCAGAATTTGTGCTTCAGCCAAACACAAGTTATGTGTTAATTAAGCACTATTTATTGACTTAAACCAGGGACAGGATAGCTGAATTGCTTAATTGCGCTGTCATATACTAGAGTTCAGACCAGCTCACACAGTAGCCTATTTAGGCCTGAAGTGCTATAAAGCTCATATAATTTAATGAAATTAGTTTTCATTAGACATGCCATCCTGTTTTTTGAGGCTAGTGACTGAATAGGAAAGCTGTTTGGAGGCGCTAATTAGCATTCCAGCTCCAATTTAAGTTTTCCCTCTACATGAATTTGCTCAGTAGCTGTTGTCTGTACTGCCTCTTTTTTTTTTTTCCCCCATGAGGATTATATTTAAAAGTAGCTTTTTCCTGACTTCTAAATACAGTGCTAAAATTACATCATCCAGGTCTCAAGGGTTATAATATTACGATTCAAGTTGAGAAAACATCACTAAACAAGCAATTTAAAAATTTACTTCACAGTAAACTGCAGGAGTGAAGTTTTGAAAAATTATGTCTAAGCCAATAGTTATGTCAAGCACACAGACAAGTAAACTATATGTTAGCATGATGTTATTCCCATCTAGATGAACAGGAAAATTTCCTAGTAGTTATTGATACCTTGGCAAGAGATTGTAATCCTAGCAAAGGATCAGTTCAAAGCTGAAGTTGGAAGTTGTCATAACTGCAAAGTATAAACTGAAGGAAAAATATGTGGCAGGCTAAAGGCTACCATTACAGCTGATTAATATCTGGACTTCCACATGGTGCAAGCACGTCCTATGTTATGCTATTTAACTATGTTATGCTAGTTAAATAAACCAGCAATAATTGCACAAATATAATTAAGTACAGTAAGTACATCTTGGTAAAGTATTACTGACCTGAGCCGCTTACTATAGATTTCTTTGCAAACGATCAGCTGAGACTGAGCAGCTCTTCTCAGTTCTTTTAGCTGAGATAAGAAATCTTCATAAAGATTTCAAGATTAAAAACAATACTTTTTTTATGTTTTGCAGAACATTTTTTTTTACTATACACATTTTTGGCTACTGTGCTTAAGATACATGTAAAGTCAAATTATGAAACTTCATATCGGATATCATATCGGATATGCAGAGGTTTTTCTAGTCTCTAGTCTAAAATAATGTTGAAGAGATTAAAAACTTAATGTTCATTTTTAATACTCATAACCCTCCTAAGAGTTGAGTCTTAAAAAATAA